TCTGCTCCCCCCCCCCCATCTCTCTGCTCAGGACAGCCCTGATGCTGGCCTGTGAGAACGGCAGCGTGGAGACGGTGGAGGTGCTGGTCACCGGCGGCGCCCAGGTGGCCGTGCTGGACTCCACGGGCCACGATGCCACCCACTACAGCCTGGCCACGGGCAACGCTCTGATCCAGCACTTCCTGCAGGAGGCTGCTCAGCGCCGCTCCTGGGCCAGCGGTGAGGGAGCCCTGGCACCCTGCTGCCCCTGCTCCACGGGGGGCTGGCACCCTGCTTTGGGGCAGGGGGCTGAGTGAGGCTGGGGGGCACGTGTCCCCTTTTTGCCACGTGCTGGAGGTGCCTCCACCCGTGTTGTCACCACCCGAGGGCTGGGAGGTGGTGCTGAGCCTTGGGTGCCTGTCAGGGTGCCTTGCACAGGTTGCACACACGTGTTCATGCGTGTACCAGGCTGTGTCTACGTGTCTGTGTGTGTGCACCCCTGCCATGACACCCCCACCTACACCCGTGTTTGCCTGTCTGCACGTGTCCCCCCTGTACACACACCTATGCCCCCCCCTTGCACGTGTGGGTGCACGTACCCCAAGTGCCCACCCCGTGTGAGCACATTCAGAGGTGCCACTGCACCCACATGGCCTTGCCTGCTGTGCCCACCCTTACAATCCCCTAATCCCCCCCAATTTCTCTTCCCTCTTGCTCTGCCCCCCAGAAGAGGAGTCGGCAGAGAGGACATCCCAGGTAAGGGCTTGCCAGGCTGCCCAGCTCTCACCAGGGCTGGCCCCAGCCTCTGGGCAGGGTTCCCCAGGGAGCTCTGGGGTTCTCCAAAGTGGTGGTGGGTTGGGAAAGAGGGAGGCCACTTTAGATGTGATGGCCCCTCTGCCCTGGTGTCTTCCACAGACGTCTTCACCCAGCCAGTCATCTGTGAGGGAGAAGAACAGCACCCCGAGGAAGAGGAAGGCCCCTCTGCCTCCCCTGGGCACCCTCAGCCAGGTGAGAGCAGGTCCCTCAGCTCCATGTCCACACCTGCTGTGCCAGGGGCAGGGTAACCAAACCATGGCCAGCTCAGGAAGCCTTCCCCAGCTTCTCCCACCCTGGGGGAGACCCCTCCCCACAGTGGAGGTGATGCTCGGGGGCTGCCCTGAGCTGCAAATGGGGGGTTCATCCCTACCCCCAGGTGCCCGCAGCACCCAGGCCCCCAGCCCTTGCTGTGGGTGGGCAGGGGGGGGTGGCAGTGGGGAGGGGGTGGCAGGGCCTGGCCCTGAGCTCTGGTGGCTGCTTGTCCTCAGGAGGACCGAGATGCCTACGAGGAGATCGTGCGGCTGCGGCAGGAGAGGGCCCAGTTCCTGCACAAGATCCGGGGTTTGGAGCAGCAGGAGAAGCAGAGGCGGGAGGTACCAGTGAGCCACGGGGCCACTGGGGAGGTGCCACCATGTCCCTGGGGAGGGGACAGAAGGGATGGGGACAGCATTGATCCCTCCCTGTTTTCTCCCTGTGTCCTGCTAGCGGGCAGAGGTGGATGAGGGCTCCCTGCGCTCCATGGAGAAGCAGGTGAGGCTGGAGAAGGTGTCACGAGTGGCCTCAGCTCTTGAGAGGTCTTGGTGCCTGGGGATGCCCCATGGGACTCTGGTGGGAACGATGGGGACCCCATGCCTGTGTCCTGCCCCCATAGATCCAGGAGCTGGAGAAGCAGCTGGCAGCACGGGATGGTGAAAAGGAGAGGCTGGGCAAGGAGGTGGAGACTCTGCGGAGCCGTTTGTCCTCCCTGGAGGTAGGTGTGGGTGGCAGCTGGCAGTGCCAGGTGCTGTGATGCATGGGGCCCCTTTGCTTCTGCGGGCAGCACCTTGTCACCAGCACTGTGCACCCCCAGAACGAGAAGGAGAACACGAGCTACGACATCGAGACACTGCAGGATGAGGAGGGAGACCCGCTGGAGTTCCCAGGTAGGGCCCGGCCTGCCTCCCAAGGTCCCTGCAGGGCTGGTGGCCCCTGGGGACACGGGTGGGCATGGCACTGGTGTCCCTGCACCCTGCAGGGGCAGAGCTGCTGCTCTCCAAGAAGACGCTGAGCCCCTCAGCTGAGGAGCTGCTGGCCACGCTGCAGCTGCAGGTGC